GGCACTTGTTACTACTAGCGATGCACTTGTTCCTAATAGCTTCTTGTCCCAGGAGCTTGAAACCGTACAAGATCGAGGCGTGCCGGCGAAAAAGAGATGCGTGGTTCTCCGAGCCAAAGAGCTGCAGCTCTGTCCTGATGCAGCTCTGTCGGATCATGTTAAAATCCCCGTCCAAGAGACTTGAGGGGAAGTGATTACTTATTTTTCAGCTTTGAAGCATACCGCGATGGAAACAAATATCACGTGTTTTTGTGCACCATTTGGCCGTCACCAGACACGTGGACATCGATTTCCCATGTGCTCCGTCCGTGGTTTGGTCGGTCTCTCCGTTCGCGGCTCCGTGGTTCGGAGATGCAGCAAGGGTGCCCCGTTCGTAGCTTCTTGTTACTACTAGTAACAAGTGCCACGCTAGTAGTAACAAGTGCCTTACTAGTAGTAACAAAAAGCTATTAGAATTAAAATTAAAGTATTTAATAGCTTCTTGTTACTACTAGTAAGGCACTTGTTACTACTAGTAAGGCACCTGTTACTAGTAGCGTGGCACTTGTTCCTAGTAGCGTCCTTGCTCCTAGTAGCGATGCATGGCATCATGGGGGCATGGGTCCGGTAGACTACAAACGGAGCGATCGGACGCTGCATGACGAACGGGGCTCCTGGCCTTACTGCGGAGCAAGGACTTTTCTGGAGATCGCTCGCCCAATCCCACGTCAGAAAGACTAAACTTGTGAATCTTCACCAATTAATTTGTGTTTGAGGTGTCCGAGTCAACAGTGGTGAAACAATCCACTTGACCCTTGGAAAGGACCTCTATAGGACCCACACTGCTTTTTCCCTTTCTGAACCTTTGGCTACCCTTTTCTTGAGCCCTGAACGTGATATTGTTTGATTGGAAGGACCCCCCCCACGGGAGAAATGTGGATAATTTCTTGTTTGGTTTTGAAGATTCCAAACGGGGAATTCACGCAATTCTGGGCGCCTGAGTCGGAGCTGTTCTTGTCAAGATCTCTTCAACGTCCAAACGTGCCACAGGTCTCGACAAAGGACAAGGTCAAAGCGAAGCTCGCAGCGGCCAAATCCAAGATCTTCGGAAGCTAGCCATCCCTTGGCCGTCCAAGGAGCCATCCTTTGGTCCATTCGTCTCCCATGTTTAAGACAAAGCCAAAGTACTTTTGCAACCTCCAACCTACTAGCGATGGCCTCCAAGCGGGTGTTTTTGTGGAGCATCCACCGAGTGAATGGGCACTAGTGGTTTCCCAGCACGGGACTTGTTTCTTCTGGCGCTTCAAAAACCAATCGAGTGAAGAGCCCGTGTTTGAAATGGTTGGCTACTCAAAGCTCACATTAAAGATTTCTTGTCACCAGAAGTTTTAATTTGAGGTGGTGACCACCAGCTATTGAAACCAAGTTACGGTAACCCTTTGGTGACAGTGCCGTCCGGTTGATACCACCAATCAGTGTGCAAGAGAGGATCGTCTTCAAAACATGGCACCATGCTGAATTATTGAGGAAGTTCATCTGTAAACTTCAATCTCAAGAGAAGGCATTCTTTCGTTAAATTAAACTCTCAAAACCAATCATTCCCCACCTGTCAGGTGAGGGTTGTCAGATTTTATGTCCGCTGCAGTCCTCGTCCTCCTCCTGCTCCTCCGCCTCCTTCGCCAGACCTCAACCGCGAGCTCCGGCTGGCAGTGTTCCCCACCCCGCCGGACATCAACCGCGGGGGCCGCGTGGCGGTGTTCCCGGCCGGACCTCAACCACGAGTCAAGAGATATGCCAGATAGAACTCCAGAAAGAATGCCAGAAGATATGCCGAAGATATGCCAGAATGAATGTCAGGAAGAATGTCAGAAGATATGCCAGAATGACTGTCAGAAGATATGACAGAAAAATTGTCAGCACGCACGTCAGATAGAGTGCCAGACTGAATGTCAGAAGATACGCAACAAAGAATGCCAAAATAATGTTTCAATACATGCCAGAAATTTTGTCAGACTGACATGTCGCGGTGGTGATCACTCGAAGTAAAGTAACAATATCTTTGTTTGAGGCCTCCAACAGTTGGTTTTAAGATTTCCACGTTCTGAACTCTAGTGCCGTTGGGAGCCACTCCACAGCCGCTGTGGAGCAGGAGATCATTGATGACCATGGTGCCTGGCACCCGCGGAGGCCTCGCTGAGGAGGTACTGTGCAAGCGGTGAAAAAGTGCCACGCTCATCGCGGCCGAGCCGTTCTTTGGGGCCGCACAAGTGGACAAATCCTACCTAGAAGCTACTAGTAACAAGGGCATCGCTACGAAGCTACTAGTAGCAAAGGGCATCACTAGTAGTAGCTCCTCTTTCCTAGTAGGTAATCCCCTCAGGAGACCCGGTCACTTTAGGTTGGAGGCCACCGCTCTTAGGTCCTTAGGTTAGAGGCCATCTCTATTAGGTTGGAGGCCATCGTTATGATGATTCATGATCATTCCACCTGGTCAATGAGTCGCACCACTGGTGAGAACGCCTTGCCCTTGGCCAGTGCTCCCGCCTTGAGCAGCGCTCCGAGGCCTCTCCGAGCGGCCGAGCTTCCTGCTGAACTTCGCGCAGGTCCAGATCTTCGCCGAGGCACGTCGCCCGCCCCGGGCGAGCGACCTCGGCGCGAGCGACCTCGGCGCGCGACGACGGGGGTGGCTCTCACAAATGGACCGCCTGAGCTATTGGGGTTGGGATGTGAGTTTTGGGCCACAAGTGGTGGTTTCTCTCCCAAGCTAAATCAAACGTCATGGCATGGATTTGGCTCCCGTCGGCAGGTTCGGTGCTCGTGGTTCCCTTCTCCGAAGTGGGGCTTTGGTGGTAGGCACTAGGCGCTCTTTTTTCGAGCCATAGCCAGGTTTGGGGAATCCAGGTGGGCAAGTGCTAGCTGGGGCTAGAGGCAGAGAAAGAAATGAACTTGTGTCTGTGTTTTGGAGTGTTGAAGGTGGTGCCAAGGGCACTTGAGGAGTTCCTTAAGGTGCATGTATGTGAGTGTGCCTAAAAATGTCCCAACTCGATGCGACAGTAGTGATAGTGGTGATGAATTTGCCAAGTAGTGTGTGCAGTGAGTAGTGAGTTGCCATGATTGTTCTGACAATGCGACATGGATCACGACATGAAACTCCATGCATTCGTTGCAACTTGATGTTTCGCGCGGTTTGTACGCAATTGATGGGTGTGCAACAGAAACGGACATGGGTGGAATCACATGAACAGCACTTGGAATCCGTTCTTCCTTTTCTTTTTTTATGTGTTTCTAATAGCGATGGCCTCCAACCTAATAACAATGGTCTCCAACCTGCTAGCGATGGCCTCCACCCAGCCTGCGTTTGTATGCCTGTGCCTAAGAACACTTACATGTACAGTATCCTGGCCACTGTGCGCCAGAAGGAAAAGCCAGCCGACTTTCATTCCAATCGACCAACTAGTTCTGGGACGGGACTGTGGGGAAGTGAACTAGAACACTAGAACCCGTGCCACTAAAAGCTCGCATTCAGGAGTGGAAATCAAAAGTCAACTCTTTGTGCCTTCAGAGCGTTGTTCCTCCAAAAAGGTTTCGTTGCTCATCCTCCCCAGTCACTCAAAGAACCTACCCAGTGCCTTCAGGGTGGCCTTCGTGAGACGCACAAGTAGCGTCCTCCCTAGTAGCTTTCTTGCTCCTAGTAGTAAGGCCAGGAGCCCCTAGTAGCGTCCTTGCTCCTAGTAGTA